GGGGGGGCGGAAGCATATTTTTTCACTCCTCCATCCCGCCTCCCCCCAAGTAAATTGAAGTCGAATAATGCACTTCACCATCCTTCCCCCACCCCCCATCAGGAATCATTATCACACACACACATCCCAAGTTGAGAGTAATAGTTATTCTTTAAGTACTGGATCCTAGGTGAAAAAAACTGCAGGGGAACAAAACTGTTTTGTCAGTTTGCTGGCATTATTATTGTGATAGTCCTTCTGAGTGTCTTTACTTGGGTATTCAGAAGTTTAAGAGTAGTTATTTGAAGTTATTTTGAAACTTTTTTATTTTAAACAGAGGAACAAAATTACTTAGAAGTGAAAGGTTGGTGCCTTTACCCTGTTCCATGTCTGATCTCCCAGAATACTAGGAGATTTGACCAATATGTGCAGAGTTGGATTGAAAATCTTTTACACAACAATTTTGCAAATGAGATACATTCAAAACGTCAGTTCCTGGTAGTGCAAAGATTCCTAGATTGTGCCAATTGCTGTATTCAGTAGGCAAGGGTTATACAATTTCCTTTAACTACATTTATACAGTGTTTTGCAATTTACAAAGCCTTTTTCCTCACAACTCCATGAAGTGAGTAGTTTACACATAAGGCAGGGATGGGGAACCTTAGCCCTCCAGACTGCATGTGGCCCTCTAGGTCCTCCAGCAAGGCCGTTTGACTGAATCCAAGCTTCACAAAACAAAGCCCCTTAATTTGTTCTGTGAAGTTTGGATTCAGTCAAAGGGCCTCACTTGAGGACCTAGAGGACCACATGTGGCCTGGAGGTCACAGGTTCCCCACCCCTGAGGAAACTTGGGCTGAGAACTTAACTAATCACACACTAGTGGCAGAATAACTCAAATCCAGGTCCTCTGATTCCAAGGTCTGTGTGTTTGTTGCCACCATATCATGGTGTCCTTCCAACAACACAGCTTTCTCTTTGGTAGCCCAATCATCATCTGGCCCTTGTCTATTTCTGATTCTGTACAACTTAAGCATCCCTAGCTTGTGTTGTTAAAAAAAAAAATTAATGAAGTCAGTAATACTACTTTCAGTATTTTCATGTTATTTTCTTGACTTTGTTTGGTATTCTTTATTATCTTATTCCCTATTATCATTTTCAGTCATTCTGGAGAAAGGCTCATGTTTACTACTACTTTCTTTCCTCTATATCCATCTTCCATATATCCAAATTCCAAAATCAGAATATACAGTGTTCTCTATTAATGCTATGCTATTTATCTAACCATTTACATACCATTTGACTCCTGTGTTGGGGGTAGGGAAAAGAGGAAACTGAAGGTCTGGAAGGTTGAGATTTGTTTCACACTAATAAGGGTCAGAAGCAGAACTCAATTACAATACCAGTCCTTTTTTCCATTATGTCATGTTGCCCTCACATGTCTTTCTGAGCCAGAAGACTCAGAGCATTTACAAATTTTACATGCAGAGACAATCTGACTTAATATACAGTCTACATGGTTGCTTGAAAGTATTTAAACTGAGCATTTAAGAAGGCAATTGATTTTATATTTGGGAGTGGGTGACAGTGGATGATATTACTGTTGGAGATGTAGAAAGTCTCCCTGGCCAAAGAGAGGAGAAAAAAATTGTTTAAGTCATCCTTTTCCTGCTTAGGGTCTGCTGAGAACTATGGTTTACATCTTTTCTACTCTTCCCCTTCATAGGTTCTTTCCTTGGGTCAGCTAGTCTTATGCATTCCTATTTCACATTCCTTATTCCTCCCTTGGTGGTTACCCCGCCTTCAGGTTGGCTGCTGCTGCTGCTGCTGCTGCTGCTGCTGGATACACTCCTTCAGTCAGGGATTTCCCTTTTCCAAACCACAGTACCTGTAGAAATGTCTGGCTGAGGCAGCTTTTTGTTTGTTCGTGCTTATTTGCCCACTGTGAAGGCAACTTTTTGTTTGTTCACGTTTATTTGCCCATGGTGAAAGGGCCATTTTATCAACACTGCCCCTTAAAGCAACAGGTTAAGAATTAAGAAAACTGTTCTAATCGAGAGTCTGGAATCTATTGTACCAAATTAATTGAATAGGAGATGTAAGAATGTAAGGATAGGCCATGAAATTTTTTAGGTTCAGCTATTAATATACATTCCTTTTAGTTTAATTTAATTATTGTAGTCTTACTGTGGTCTTATCCCTTCTCAATATCTTAATTTACTATTGTTGTTTTATACTTATTATCCTTGGTTTGTCTTCAAGGATCTTCTCTTCAACTTATTTCCTATTTATATGCTCTGTTAATAGTAGATTTTGTTAGTCCGATGCTACTTTCAAATTAGGGATATTTGAGCTGGGCAGCTCCTAAACAGCTACCATTTGTAGCCAAGAGTTGCTCTCTAACAATCATTCCTTTTCTACCTTTCAGTAGCCCTAGATTTCATAAGATAGACAGATTTCAAGTTCATTAAAGTGAATGGGTGCTTGGACTTCATTGTAACAACAGCTGTTAAATAAAAATATTATTGTAGTGCCAGAGCAGAGGAGTCAAATTCAGCAGAGGCAAAAATGTCTAAATTCTGAGTGAGAGTAGAACCCAAACCAAATTAAAATGTAATTGGGAAATGTTTAACAAAATAAATAAAAATTCAGTACAACATAGGTAATGTTAACTTGTAGTTTTCTAAGTTAATGTGCAGCCCTAGGGATCTGTTTCTTTTTGACTTAGACACTGCTGGGTTAGAGCAATTTTGAATTGTATCCCCAATTATATAGATGAAAGAGGACAGAGAAAATTTTTCTTGTCTGAGATCAAATTGATTCTTTGGTAGAAATGGGAATTGAATCACAGTATTTTAGATCTTGGAGGCAGTCTTAGAGATCATAGAGTCCAACCTCATTCATTTACAGAGGCCCAGAGTTAATGTCCAAGGTCACATCAGCAGTAAGTCTTGGAGCCACATTTCAAGTTCAGGGCATCTGACAACAAAGCCAGTGCACTTTCCATTATACCATTCCGTATCTGAATTCCATTATTTAAAGTGGATCAGTATTTCTTATGATTTCTTACTATTTACCATGAAAAAGAATAAAATAATGCAGAAACAAAAAAAATAATTTAAACCCCAGAGGGTCTTATCAAGTTATATACCTTTAAATTGTTTATTTTTAATGGCTGTTGATAATGGTACTATATATCATAAGACTCACTTTGCTTTTTAGAATCTGACAAATATTGAACTCCCATCTTTCCATAAAAGTAAAACCAAATGAAGTATTGCAATATATTTTAAAGAACTGATATCTAATATTCCAGATTTTTAGAAGACTTGTGGATATATTTTATAACTTGTCATCCCTGGGGGAAACTTTTCCTAAACTTTTACTCAAGATACTGATTTAAATGTATGTAAAGTATATTTGGTAAATTGGAATTAGTATTTATCTTTCCCAAGGAGGAATCAATGTAAATTTCCTATGTAGAGAAATAAACATCTTGAGTCCTACTAAGAACAAGGGGAGAGTTGCCAAAAAAAACAGACAGAAATGATCTCTAACTAAAATTTCTTAAATGAAAAGCAAAAAAAAAAATCAGTGTTTGAAATGTTGGAATCCTATTCTTTACATGCTGTTCTCCTGAGCCTAATACTTCTTATCTTACTAGGCTTTTAACAGATTCTCTTTCAAATAATTGATAGGGAAATGGCTGAAGAAGTTATAGATTTTGATTGTGATGGAATTCTATTGTGCTATAAGAGATTACAAGTAGGATGGTTTCGGAAACACCGAAAAAGAGTCATATGAACTGACGCAAAGTGAATTAGAACCAGGAGAACATTGTACACAGTAACAGCAATATTGTATGATTGTCTGCTGTGAATGACTTAGCTATTTTGATCAATGAAGTGATCCAAGACAGTTCCGAAGGTCACATGATAAAAAATACTATCCACCTCCAGAGAAGGAACTGATGGAGTCTGAATGCAGATTGAAGCATAATTTTTTCATTTTATTTTTCTTGTTTTCAACATGGCTGATATGGAAATATGTTTTGCATGATTTCACATGCATAATTGAGATCACATCTCTTGCCTTCACAATGGGTGTGGGGGGGAATGTGGGAAAAGTAGAGAATTCGAAACTCAAATTTTTTTTAAAACTAACACTAAAAATAAATACACAAATACATATATTTAGAAAATGACTGATAGGATATATGGTATGTATAATCTTTGTACCTATGAAAGAAAAATTGAGTAAGTTTCAGATAACTTATTAATATCTGCTGCTTAAGTTGTGTTGCTTCAAAACATTCTTTCCTCCTTTAAGAATTCCTTTGGGGACAGGTATTCATCCCATCTTAAAGCTGTGAAATATCTTGTCCATAGCTATTGCATTATCTGAAATATATTTTATTAATTTCTGAATCTGCACTCAGATCATTGGACAATTTCCATGGTACTTTCTAAACCTCTGATTCATGTAGCTATGAGTTGTTCCTTATTTTGTTTTTTTACATCCTCCCCCTGTTTCTGTCACTAACTTCTTCCTTACACATAACTCCACAACTTCTACAAAAACATCAAAGCATTTGGTTTCTTAAATAAACAGGCCCTGGAGAGAAGCTGTGTTGTGTGGTGTGTCAGCACAGAGAAGAATGTGTGTGTTTGTTTGCTGGTGCTGGCAGAGCTGAACCCCAG